ACCCAAGCATACAGCAGTCAGGGGCACCGGGATCGGGCGAGAACTACTACACAGGAAACGCAGATCCTTCAAGTGCATACGGACAACCGCAATCGCAATACGGTGGCGGTTACCAAGCACCCTACCCACAGTTCGACAAGCGACCACAGTCCTACGCTCCTCCCCAGGATCAATACCAACAACCCTCACAACCATACCCCAACCTCGCACAACCGCCACCTAATACTTCGTACCCGAACCCTGCTTCACCACAACTCCAGCGCCAAGTATCGAATCAACAGTACCCGCCACAGCAGTCCTCGGGATATCCATCACAAGCACCTCCTGTCACCGATGCAGAGAGCGCTAGCTTCTACTACGGAGACAACGCTGCAGCGCAACCCTCTCAACCGCCAATGCAGCGAAGCCAAAGCTACGGCTCCCAGCCATCCCAACAACAGCAACCTCCCTCTCCACAAGCATACACCCGAGCTCCACCACAACAGACGCCCATCTCACCCCCCGCACAACCTACGACTGCGTGGCAGAACCCGCCGTACCCCAGGCAAGATCAGCCACAGGCTCAGCAGCAACAGGCGCCTCCACTACAGCAGCAGCAACAGGTACCCCCACAGCAACAACAGGCATCGCAACAAGCGCCGCCACCCCAACAGTACTGGCAACAGCAACAGCAAGCGCCCCAGCAGCAGCAGTCTTCTGCGTGGCAATCCGCGCCGTATGCGACGGGTGGTTATGGACCGGAGAGTTTCCCGTCTGCGCCGCAGAATCAGTTGCTGGTTCAGCAGCAGAAGGTTGTGGATGAGCCGCTGATTGATTTGTAGATGGTCACACGAGGGTAGTCTGAGGGTAGTTTGACGCATGCAAGCGCTGTCTTTATGTATGGGACGGCATAATTTGATGGTCTACGAAAGGGCCTGGGACAGGATTGTTCGTCTAGGCCTTGAGGCGTTTAACCAGTTGGGAAGACGTCTAGCATCGCGCATAGATACTCGGTCATCTGAATAATCGCAAATATTATACACTATATCACGTCTCCCCATGACTCCAACTCCTCGCTTTTTTTTTCTTTCAATGCTGGAGAATCAGATGCCCGAGTTCATTGTCTCTCATGTGAAGCAGGACGACACGACACTAGCATATTCGTTTCCTTGAGAAGTGAACAAAGCCATACGACACGCCGGATTTGGCCAGGATACGCTGACCTCTATTGATGCACCAGCCAAACAAGAAACCACAAAGGTAAATCGCTTTGCTTGTCTGCCGCATACAATGCAATGTCAGCTCGTAGTCACTGAGTGGAAGAATGACTGCAATACATCCTCAGTAAATCCATCGCAACACCAACAAGACACCCACACACCAAATCCAGCATGGCAACAACATCCACAATCACAGCCGTCCTAACAACAGCAACAACTTCCGTCGCAGACCACGCAATCCAGCCCGGTGACTCTCAACCCCCCACCTCCTCCTCCTTCTTCACCCCCTCCACCCTCCTACACCTCCTCATCCTCATCTCCATCCCGCTCTTCCGCTCTCTCGCCAGGCGCCGCCGCCAAAGAATCACCCAAAAAAACGACGAAGCCGCGGACCTAGCAACCTCATGGCAAGAGCCCTGGTTAACCTCCGATTGGACGGCGTTATACGGATTAATCGGTCTGGCGCAGCGGGGCGAGATAAAGACAGAGCATACGCCATTTCATGCTGAGCATCTCGATACAGTAAAGAGAAGATTGGTGGATGGATACAGCACAAACCGTCAACATCGATGGTCCCTCCACCGATTATTAGAACGCGGCATAATCCCCCTTTCCATCAGCGACGGCGGCGTCTCAACCTCCTTGACCCGCTCCTGGTCCTTATCTCTCTCCTTCCCCTTCCTCATCCTCCCCTCTTACAGACAAACCAAAAGCCGGGGCTCCTTCACCTTCCTACTCCCGCACCCAGAGCGTGTGGAAGCAAAAGCATTACTACAACTGTTGGGCCAGAACAAGATGAACTACAACATCTCATGCCGCACGCACAACCCCAAGATGCGTGGAACGCGGTCTTCGATTACCACCGGTTTCAACGATGTTGGACAGCCAGAGTATTATCCGCTGTCTGTGGGCGCGGAATCGAGTTGTGAAGTTCTCCTTCCATTTCTGCCAGATGCAGAGGTGGAAAGTGCACATCCTGGTGGGAAGCGGATAGCTGGGCTGGATGATTACGTCAAGGAAGGGGATGAGGCAGAGGGGAGACCGCGTGTGCCGTTGTTGCACTGGAGTAGTTGGGCTGTTGTTAGGGTTGAGGCGGCGCATTGGGGGTATGTGGAGTTGGATCATTATGTTTTGGGTGCTGTGCAGGATGCGGGCATGGGGGTTACGTATAAGAGAGATATTTGTGGGAAGAAGGCTGTGGTGAAGGAGGTGGCTGCGTGGGAGAGGGGTGTTTGTGAGAAGAAGGCGAAGGAGGAGATTGAGCGGTGTGGACTTGGGTTGTGAGTGAGAGAATAAATTGGGAGATATCGTATTGTTCGTTTTGAGTTGATCATCTAGAAAGAATCAGGTTCCAATTGTCTTTTCATCCATGCTCCGATTTCTTCTACTCGTGGTCTTGTTGCTGGATCGGGGTCTTGCTGAGACCAGAGGCCTACGCCTTCGTAGGAGGTTAGTTCGACTCTGTCTTGGGCGATTTCTTCATATTGCTTCTTCTCTGCTGCGTCGTGCCAGCGGGATCGCCCAGAATGCGTCTTCAGGATTTGGCGGGCGATGCTGCGTCGAAGGTGCTTGGCTAGATCATTTGTGGTATCGTTCAGCGGACTTTGTAGACCAGTTGTGACGTTCCATATCGGTAGACTCAGCCTGGTGCCTGCTGGAGGGTAATTCCGAGCGTAAGCGCGACATCTGCTCAGCGTTGGTACTGCCGGTGGGGCTTTGATGGCATCTTCAAAGGTCGCATAGTGATTCATGGCCATCTGTGTCTCGATGTCGAGGAGCTCGTCTGGTTGCTGTGATGCGAAGATGTCGTCTTGTGGCGGCAGGGTAAGTTGCGCATGAGGAGAACGGAAGAAGTGCAGTGGAGATGCAAATCGATCGAAGTAGTCTTGCGGCTTCCTAAATAGAACGTCACGCCTTTCCGACAAAATCATCGTGGGTATGATTTCGTTCTCTCCATAAGCTTGCCAAGATGTCGGCGGCGGTGTTTTGGGCAATCGTTTCCTGCCACGCTTCTTTTCAGGTTGCAGATTCTCTATAGCCTCGCGAATTGCCAATGAACCAGCCATGTCTTCGTCAGCTGGAAGTTGGGTTTCGTCGCCATATTGCGGCTCGGGAAGATCGTCCGGCTGGACGACTGGAAGCTCATCTGGAAACACCCAATCTACAATCGGATTGTTGATGGCTGCAGCGCCGATTCGACTCTCCCCAACGCGGCACTCTGTCAAAGCCAGCATCGTTGCCAATGAGCCGCCTACTAGTTCTCCGCATACACCCATGCGAGCTAGATAAGGCCGTTCGAATTCATCGATAAGGATATGCTCGCGGACCCAATCGTAGCCAAGCAGCACATCGTGACATGGGGTCGGATACTGATGCGCCGACGACGCGCGGTAGTTGATACGCACGATAGTCCCAGCACTTGACTCTTTTAGCGTTGTGATAACGCGTTCGTCTTCATCTGAGCTCTCTGGCACTACTGGTCCTGGAGGCAGATAAAGTAGGACCGGAGCTTTAGATGCTGATGCGTGGAATACGCTAAAGAAGGTTAGTACTAGAAGAAGCCAAGATGATGCCCAGAAGCTGCGATCTGAGGTATGCTCGCTTAGGGCGGGGCATGGTGTTGGATTGCGGAGGAGGAAAGCGCTGTGAGGTCATCGCACAGCAGACGGAGGATTCCCCGGGCAATTGCAACAACGAGAGGCAGGATCGAAGGGCAGACAACGTCATGTGAAGACAAGACGGAAGAAGACTCACTCAACCGTAATGGAGCCGTTTGACCGACAGGGGATCTCGATGCGTTCACATCGTGGGAGGGCGGTGACGGCCGAGTAAGATCGTCTGGGGGCGAGGAGAGATAATCGGGGCAGTGATAGGGCAGTGAAAGCCTTCAGACAGGAGTGTCGCAGCATTAATGGGGACCATGCAAGCGATGGTGGGCACAGGTGTAGTCACAAGTCACCAGGCGGGCAAGGCGTGCAAGATGAGAGACCTCAGTTCGCTTGGGGCTGTCGCTTCCGCATGGGGACGGGACGACGGCCCTAGAGGAAGGAGCCACCGCCGCGAGGAAGGCGCATCAACACAGCACAGACGTGGAGGGAAGGAATGCAGAATTTGCGTGCGCGATAAAAAAAAACCGATGCGACAATAACAAAAGCCGTTAGCAGAGCTGTCAAACATCAACAGGTGTGCGGTAGTGCTCAGGGGGAGTGGTGGGCGGGTCTGCATGGGGCGCGGCGTGCAGGGAAATTAGGCTAGCTGCTTTGAACCCCGAACTGTCGTGGTCTGGTGCAGTCCACAACCCGCAGCCTGATTTCATTTCTACGCCGCCTCCGCTCCTTGGTGCCGACCTGTCTTTCATTCCCGTCTGTCCTTGACCGTTGTGCACTGTGCGATTCTGCCTGTGGTGTCGAATTCCCCGCAGGCCCCTCGAAACCTATCACGCTCACGCCCATTCGCGCCTACGACCCGCTTTCACAGCCTCCCAGACCCGCGTAGGACCAAACTCCGTATCACCTAATGCACGCACCTGCACGCTGCGCCCGATAATCCTCCCTAATATATCCTCTTGCGAAGACTGCGTTGTGCAACAACATCGTGTTTCCAACATTGCGACCCCAACGCCTTGTCGCGAAGACCTCGACCGCCCTTTCAACACGTGCGCCTGCTAGCCTCCACCTGGGCACCGCAATCCTCGCACCTCCACCGAGCCTACACCAAACCTATACACCTACGCGAAACTGGCGATTGTCGAATAATACCTGGAAACAGCTGCTTCGGGTCGTCGCCCGTTAGCTTATCGATATGGCGGAAGGCTCCAAAGTCCGCGCAGTCTTCACCCTGTGCAAGAACCTGGTACTGGCGGCACTGCTCTATGCTGCTATCTACGGCGTCATCACCTTTATAAACGACCCCTCCGTTGCTGCGAAGGGCAAGATTGGCATCCCCGCCTTCCTGGACAAGGCTGGACCCACGGAGCTGATCGAGACAACCAAGGCGGGCGTCAAGGTCAAGTTCGCCGGCACCACCAAGACCGTCACCATCAACCCGCACGCCAATGTCTTCAACCGCCCCATTACCGCCGTCAAGAACAAGGACGACTACCTGGGTCCCCGCCCCCATGTCGACACCGAGGCCGACATTGACATGCTGATTGAGGAGTGCCGCGGCACCTATGCTGGCATTGAGAAGATGAGGAAGCCCTTTGACTGCCTGAAGTTCTTTGCAGAGGGCGAGGACCGCTACTACAGCCTGCCAGAGCCCGCCGACCGCGCCAGCGCCCAAGACCCCCGCAACGCCGACTTCATCAACGCAGACGGACACGGCAAGACGCTTGAAAGCTATACCCCTGTGAACGACGCGATTGCTGCCAACGGAACCAACATCGGCACCTGCCCTGGCCCTATCATCCCATACCACACCTACTGGACTGGCCCCGCGACCTGGCGAGTGGAGGTCTTCATCAAGAGTTACCTCTACACCCAGAACCTGGCTTGCTCTCGTCTTTGGCTATGGCTTGACACCGACCACAACCCGAACGCCGTCGAACACATGCTGAACAAGGATGCCCTATTTGCCCGTTTTCTGCCCCTGGTCGAGAGAGGCGACATTGTTGTCATGCCCTGGAAGTTCCCTAACCGCATCCCACTGGCTACCGACAAGGAAGACAAGAACGGTTTCGACTACTACAACAAGCCCGGCGCCGTGAACGCCAAAGGAGAGAAGGATGTGGCCGAGAACATTATTGAAGACAAGGATGGCCAGCAGTGGCTCGTCCTGACCCAGAAGCAGATGACATTCCTTCCGGTCGCCGTATCTGATGCCGTCCGCTTCATCGTATTACATATCTACGGCGGTGCTTACTTCGACATGGATGTTCTGATGCTCCGGGACATGCGACCACTTCTACTGCCGAAAGAGCATGCCTGGGCAGAAAGATGGGCGGCACATCCTCACCCCGGTGATTACAACACTGCCATCATGTCACTCTCGGCAAACTCCTCCCTCTCATCCTACCTGCTCTACGGCGGTATCAGAATGGGTGTCAACTTCCACCCCCGCGTGCTTGGTCGCATGGCCTGGAAAGACGGACGCGACCAGGAGTTCAAGATGTTTGAGACCGCTGCCTTCGACCCCATCTGGACGGAGTTCAATTGGGACCGCGAAGGACGCTGCACAGTGCCATGTATTCGGGACTACAGCGCAGTCTTCAAGGGCAAGATTGGTGGCGTCAAGGACGAATGGGAGAGCTACGACGGCCCACAGCTCAACCGCATCGACCTCAAAGACGCGCAACGCAAAGAGCTCAGAATGCCCGCCAGCTCCTCCTTGGCCAAACGCGGGGAAGACAACGTACCCGCCTCCGCTGCCCTGCCAACCCCCAATCACGGCGACAAAGAGCACCCCGATTCGTTCCAAGCCACGCTTGACGAGGAGGCTGAGCTGAGAAAAGCTGGTGTGATTACTGACTACGTCTTGGAGGAAGACAAATTCCCTCCCAACAACCGCACGCTGGAGAACTTCTTCCGGGGTGCCTGGACATATCACATTCACAACCAGGTAAGTCTCAACAGAATTTCCCACATGTTGTTTTGTTGCCACCCCAACCCCGCTTCTGCGCATCTAGTCCAATGTCCCTGCAGCAGGTATCTTGGCAACGGCTTCTTCCCCACATAAAGAAGGAAAAGCAAAGAACCACACGCTAACAATGCATCACAGTGGATGAAGCATCCCGAACCTTCGTCATGGATCTCAGTCCTTGAACACGCCCACGACGGATTTATTGCCGGTAAGCGCACGAACCCTTACGGCGAGAAATGGACTGGTCCTACTCTTATGCCATACAACTACTGGCCTGAGTACGTGTGAGGCCCTGGCAACCGCCGAACTTTAACCCCCCTTCTGCGACATCGAGCTTTTAGCGGATGCGCAGAGGTTGCCGTGTCGAGTGCTGTCGTTTCAAGGGAGACAACAATCCCTCTTCGTCAGGCGAATGTCCCATCGGAGAATTTGTGGCTAGCTACAGATCCCCCCTGTGGCTTTCTGCTATGGAAACGGCCAGCGCTCTTCGACCACATATCAATCACCCATTTATGGATCACGATACGCCCAAATTCACCTTTCGTCAAAAACATAAGCGCAGCATAAAAGCCAGATTCACTGATATCTGCTTTTTGGAGTTTCCGGTGTTGATGTCAGTATTTCTTAATCGGGCTCGCTTTCGCGGCCATATACCCTTCGTTTCTTGTTAATCGTTTATGGTTGTTCTTAGGCCAGTGGCGACTTGATCTTGTCGTTTTCGGGTTGAGGGTATTTTTGTAGTGAGGTGTTCTTTCTAGTTAGTAGGGTAGGGCGATTTAACGATGTGGCGTCATGGCCAGAATGAAGAGAATGGAACGGGATGAATCTACAGAATTATCTTGTAATCTCGTCGTATGTGACTCTTCTGGATGTCATTGTTGACTGACATAGTTTGTTAACGTTGTCCTTCGTGAAGGGAAAAATCGCAACGAGCCCCACGACTTTGTACATACAGACGTTGCTTGGCTTACGTCTGTTTCTCTAGAGACCAGCGCAAAGCACATAGCAAGAATGACAGACACTCGAGTTAAGGCGACTTAAATATTGTGTATTATGAGAGTGAGCTCTTGTCTTGGCCTTGTGATGCCCGCAAAAGTCAGAGTAGGTGAACGGAGAATACTCCGAAGAAATGACTAGAACTGGTGCTGAAGCAAGACTTACAAGGCAGGAGTAGAGTATGAACGCGTCAAGTGATGAGTAAAACAATTGTGTGTAGCTTTTAAAGACTTGGGAAAGTAGTAGGAAATACTTAACAATTGAACTAATCAACTAACAGAACGTACTAGATATACGATTTGACAAGTATCTAGCTGCGAAAGATTGAGACGAATCACTCTTCAGCCACTTTAGCAATTGTTAGGCTATCAGCGCAGTAGCTAAATCATCTAAGACTGTCACGGGCTTGGGCACAGGTCTAACAATAATGTACTTATCTCGAAGGCTCCAAGGTTGCTTACAAGAATACTAAGTACAGCGGTTGATAATGTGTTCGTAATAGTCTTATCTTAATACATTATGCGACAAACTGGGAAACTCCGTGTAAACGGGTTCGGTCTGATTTTCAGACGTAGCATATTAATAGTAGACGATCATATGGAAATACTCACATGTTGCCATTAGATATAGCTTGCAACCGATTTGTGGGTAGTGACGCAGGTTACAACAGACTTGTGTTGATACAACAGAAGCTGGCGCCTGCTCGGTACAACATCTGTACCGGTCTCCTCAAAGCGCTCGTATAGCCAAACTCCCCCGATAGAAAATCGAAGAAACAGCGAAACCTTGTTGCTTTCAATCCGAGTGCGAAACCGAGGCCTTTGTGACGGATAGGATGGGGAAATCCGGTTTCACGTCATGTCCCTTCAGATAAGGGCGATGGCGACGAAAGTGGTCATGAGGCACCGTGTTGGAGTCATGAGAACCGCAGCGCTAATGGAATGTCGTAGATATCGGCTATATAGCCATGCTCCCGGAGCCGCACACTGCTCTATCGCCCAACCAATTGTATGTTAATAGCCGAAGGGTAAATATGCGATGCCCAAGTGTTGCCTGACTTGATTGTGTCGGTTCTGGTACGGTATCATCGGTTTCATCTCAATCATGGGTACGAGATCAAGTGCTCGCTGGCGAAAGTATTACTGCCATGGGAAGAGTTGAACGAGGGGTAAATAGAAGTTGGCAAAAGAACCAGTGTGAAGTGCCCAGGAGTCGGTTGAAGTCTCAAAGTAGACTTAGCCACAGTTGTGACGTCTTGACCTCCCTGTTCGCGGTACGATCACCCGCTGGCTGCCGCGTGCCTCGTGACGAGCACCATACATCGCGTTTCTATTGCAGCGGGAGAGCTCGTTACTTTGCAAAGGTCCGAAAATGTGCCCATTCACAGGAAAACGATATGTCACTCCCACCAATCAGTCAATGATCATCGTCTCACATGCCTTGAGGTATCCTGGCGATGTGCTTACCCCCACGCTCACGAAACGGGTCCTCGTCTTTCTCACCGTGGAAGCATTGTTCCAGAATGAAATCCGCCAGTTCTCCGGGGTTGCATATCAAGGCACCCTTGTTGTCAAGCCCGATCTGACAAGCGCTTTTCCCGAGATTCTTCCTGTACCTGGTTTACATGTGCCCGCAGGGATGGAGCTGGACAACCGTCTTAAGCGATGCGTGCGTATAATTCGAGGAGAGCGGTGAGTGCCGTATTATAGCCCACCGTCCCGAATCTTCGGTAGTGGTGCGTTGAGATAATTGCGTTCCAAGCATTGTCACGACGCGTCTCACACCTATCGCAGACGAGAAGGTATCGTGTCTCTTGGGCAACGCATGCCGGCGAGGTACCAAGGCTCGGGGACACCGACGTGGAAGCTGATCTTATATACATACGTTTGCGGCAGGGACTGACGTGAGATGAAGAAAGTCGGGATGTGGTGGGAATCGGAGATCGGTAGGTGGGCGCCGAAAGGACACTAGTCCGGAAGTGGAATCGCCCGGACTCTATCAATCTAGTTGACGTTTTTCCAGAACCCAACTTGCGAGAGCGGACCGATTCTCTGACACTCCTGCCACAGCCTTCCAACAGCAGGCGCTCTCGAGCGCGACTGTCACATTCAATGATCTGATGCATGCCGGGACACAACGGAACCCAAATACACTTTTGACCATTCAAACGAACCCGATCTTCACTATGACGTCCTGGAGAGTTATGAGGCTTCGCATCCTCGTAGCTGATCCTCCGCATGGGATAAGATGAATGCGAAAAAGCGGGGTCGCGGCAAAGGCCTGTACGCGTCCGCGCTTAGCAATATTCGCATACCGGGTACCATGTATACACTGAAGTCTTATGAACGACTATCGCCAATCATCCATCTCCAGCCCAGGGTTTCATCATATCTTTTGTTCACAGAATTGGAGAAGCAGCGATGTTGAAGACGTTTGATAGCAGCGATATGAGCGAGGTGACAGGTAAATCTCATACAAGAGGTCCCGACAATCCGGCGCCACCAGCGAATCCATCGTCCGCGGTCCCACAAGCTACGGCACCACCCGAGCCCCCTCGCCGCCAACAGATGCGTAGCTGCGACGCATGCAAGCGCGGAAAACGAGCTTGCGATGCGGACAAACGCGTCGATTTTGCGAATCAGACATGCTCGAACTGTCTTCGAAAGAACCAAGTCTGCACTTTCAACTGGCTGAAGACAGCATCGGTGAATCGTCCAGAGCGGGAGAGAAAGAGGAGGCGCTCGGAGGAGAAGAGCGATATCGATCAGCTCGAACATACAGCGAGTAGCTCTGTCAATTATCAGTATCCGATACCACCTGGATCTACTGCGAACGAAGCTCAGCACGAACTACAAGATCGATGGACACAGTGGTCATCATCTCAAGACGAAGACGAGACACGCGAGGACTACTTCAGCAACCCGCCGAGTGACGACGTAGATAACATAGCCGACGAGTCGATACCTTTGGAGGATCTCGACTCAGTGCAGTCAGGGAGGAACGTTGAGCAAGGATTACTTCAGTCGCGATACTCGCGGAGTAACTCGTTCGCGCTGCGTCCTCATCGCCGTAATCAGAGAAACGATGCTTCATCTCCAATCGTGGACATACTACTGGGGGAGAGGTCGTCGCGGGGTTTCGTAACCAACGGTTTACTACGCATATACAACGACAGTATGGAAAACTCTCTTTCCTGCTGGCTCACGGAGCACAACTGTCCGTATACGATGACGCGATACAAGCCTTCCCTCCTCTCAGCCAGCAAAGCCACACGGGAATGGAGTGGTACCTGGTCCAACAGGATGTACAACCGCGTACTCCAACTTGATCGAGCCTACGCGTCCCTTCAAATACGAAAGCCAACGACTGAGGAAGAGCGTACAATCTCCAAAGCACTCAACATGACCATCATGTCGTTCGCGTCACAATGGGCTCAGGCAGGCGAAAGAGGGGCAGGAGGTCGCGCGACTGACGCCCAGTTTACGGCGGACAAGTTCCCTCAGTCGAATGAGTTCGAACGGTCCATGCAAGAGACACTATGGCATCAAACATCTCGGCTATTGCAGCAGGCTGCTGATATCGGTTCTTTCCGTGTCATCTTTGCCTTGATCATCTTCTCGCTGACCCAACGGCCCTTAGACACCACTCAGCGGCATGCACGCACGGATCCAAAGCTGAGAACGCATTACGAACACTTCCAAGCCTTGGTACAGGACGACGACGCCCCCATCTTCTTAGAGATAGCTTTGCGACAGCTACTCGCCCAACGACGGAGACTGGAACGCGTGGAACAAGACCTAGGGCGAGACCCTCTTCAGCAAGAAGACCGAGATACTTTCAATCTGTTGTACTGGTTTGGCGTCATGTTTGATACCCTATCGGCAGCGATTTCCCAACGTCCAGTAGTGGTCGACGATGAAGACAGCGAATTACCCCCTCCAACCAACAGCGCGTACACCGAACCGTTCTCGTGGCCGAACCCACCTACTATGTACAATAATCAATTTGGGATGCCAGGAAACGTTCCCACAATTCCCAACGACACTTCAGTACCTCAGGGCTCTGAGGGTAACGCAGTGTGGGGCGATCTTTTCACTCGCGATGGAACTTTGGAAGTCGATCCTGGAGCAGCACGGTGGCCATGTAGCTACAAGATCGCCGCCGCAACACTCAGCTCCGCTGCGCCGGTCAAGGTGCTTCTATACAGACGTGTCGCGCATCTTCAAGCGTTGGTATCGCGGAAGGCTCCGCCGGCTAGGATTGAGGTAAGTAAATAGATACAGTCTCATCTTCTTGAAATCGGCTGGCTGACCATCCCACTTGTAGTCAGGTATAAACGGCGCATTCCACGTCTACAACCACTGGCATCGCACGTACGCGCCCTTCTTCTCCGACTGCGTAAAGCACCACGCCACCCTCCCCACACGCGTACAATCCTGGTACACACTGATAGCAGGCCACTGGCATCTGGCCACCTTCCTGCTTTCCGACCTGCTACTCACAATCGACAAGACGAAACTCTCTTCCCCGAATGAGCGCACCCTTCGACAGTCATCAAACCTCGTGGATACGCTGCGCCGCCAGAACGCACTGGCAGTCGCCGACCTAAGTCTCGCTAGCATACACAGCGTGAAAGAAAAGGAAGGAACAGATGAGTTCCACTTTGCGCTCAGCCAGGCCGCGCTGTTGACAGAGCCGTGGACTGTGGCTTTTGTGCGCTCGTTATGCAGAGCTGGGTACGTCTTGGTGCAGGTCGTGGCGTCGGAAACGATCGAAGAGGAACGCGAACAGGCGATACGGAGATGTCGCGATTGCATCGAGGGTCTCTGGTATCTAGGTCGCAAATCAGACATGGCGTTTCTCGCTGCGCGCTATCTGTCGGATATGCTGGATGAAGCGATACGCGACACGACTGCACGGACGATGGCGGAGGAGATGGGCAGTGATTCTGCGACTGTGTCGTCTCAGTTTGGTACGAACTCGAGTCCTGGGACGGATGGGGGTGTGCCTGTGTATCAGCAGCCGTTTGATTCGATTGGGGCTTTCCCGTCGTGGTCGAATGCGGATTTGATGGGGAGTTGTCAGCCGGGTACTAAGATCGACGAGGGCGATGTGTTGAATATGGAGACTCCTTTGAATGTTGATAGTGCGTTGCTTTGGGACTTTAGTCTGCAAGGATAGCAACATAGTCGAACCAAGCTGAGAAGCAGCGATTGCCTGACGAGGCTAGAGGAGCTCGTGGGATCCATCGATAACTATCTTCTTCCAGTGTGTTCACGACAAGCAAGACAAACAACACAACAACGAAGCTCGACCATGTATATCTGCATTCCTCAGATGCCCAACAGAGCATTACAAAGTCTACCTACTACCGATCCCACCATGCAACAATCCCTTGGCGTTTCCGATCCCTTCGAGCGCGTTAACCTTGTTATGAACATACAGTCTATATGGAATGTCGCAAACCCTACATACATCATTCCAGAGGACATGCGATACCCTGGTTGGATCGGCAATTGGCCCCTACCCATCCTACGATCCATAAGCCATCTAGCCAGTGGTATGCCGGGCGATGGGGGACGGCATCGATTCGTGGAACTCCTGAATATCGGCTATACGATAAGGGTGACAGACGAGTCGACTACTCATGAACCGCAGCTACAGGTATCTGATCTAGAGTTTGTCCGGGACAGCGTTGGATTGCCACCGGCGGCTATGCCAGTAGAGGAGGAAGCCGCCCCAGCCCAGAATGATGTTGCAACCCCTCAACCACGTCCACAACGAATACTTCCAGAAGATGAAGATGACCCGGAGACCTTGATGAAGAAACAGGAACTGTGGATCAAGTACTACTGGAACGTCACTGATATCAAAGCCCTTGTCCCCCCGAACATGCGGCAGCTAGACAAATTTGGAAAGCCGACCAATCGGGCGCTGCACAGCTGCAGCGACCAAAAGAATCTGACGAAGTTACTTTACAAGCTAGCTCGCATCACAAAAGGTCGAAAGGATGCAGCATGGGCGCAGATAGAAGAGGCGTGGAAGGCAAGACCAGTAGGCCGTTCAGGAGGCAAAGCGTTTGCAGAATCAGACGTCAAAGCCGCTCTTGATTACTTCCGTGACCTACGTGAAGAAGAAGAAGACGAAGACTCTGTTACCAACAGTCGAAAGCAATTACCTATTGCACCTTCAAACCCCGACGGGACTACCGGCGAGGAGGGTCATGATGGCGCGACGAACGCCGGGCGGGGAAGTCAGCATCTCGATGGAAGGCAACGGAAGAGACGACGACGCGAATCTCGAGCCACCGAACCCGACACCCACGACAGTGCTGATCACCAGATGCTACTGTCCGGCGTGGATGTCGCAGAGGCGGGACTCTCGATGGCTCGCAGCCGGCGCTCATCAGTCATGGCAAGACGTGGCAACGACCGCGCAAGTATTGTAGCGACCCACGACGCTACGGCTGACGAGGCTGCCTCGAGCGTACAAGAAGCGCGTGGAGCAGCGACCTTGCAGCTAAAGAGGAAGAGACGGCATTCGCTAAACGAAGATGAGGCAGATGTGGATGTGGAAGGTGGCAAGATGGGTGATGACGAAAAGAGTGAGCGTGCGGAACAGGAGCACGATGAGCTGGAGCCAGAAGAGGGGTAAGAACCGCCGGGAAACTGGGCCGTGCTGTCTGAGATGGAGGACGCACAACACGATGGGGAGATCGAAGATCAGGCGGGAGGTTGAAGCAATGTAGATAAGACATAGTGCAGATTAGACCTCAGGCTAGTACATGACATGACTGGTAGTGCCCGCGACTGTCACGTATAATTGCACTACATAGAAGAAAAGATTAAACAGGTCTGCAGACTACATTAGGATAAAAACTTACAAAGTAGGTAACCCTATATTAACGTAGGCTCTAGGCTGTTTAGTCTTTTCCTAGGTTGCTGTAACTGTAGCATTTTAAGTTGTTTATTACTGCGCCTCAATGGCGCGTGGGGCTTGACCGGTCCCGACATGTGCCAATAGACGTGTGGCACACTGCAGATTCAATGTCGCACAGCAGTAAAAGTACGAACATGACTGAATCGAAGCCTCTATGAGCTGTTTTCTCGAACGACGCGCAAGTTTGGTGGTTGAATGCGAGTTACCCCGCATTGTTCGCTGTTTCGCTCTTACCGTACCAAGAGCCCAACCGCCCCAGCTTCAGAATGACGAGCGAGAATCCCGCCCCAAACACGCAGGCACCAACTCAGGTAAGCAACGTTGGACCTCAAAGAAGCGGAAAAAACTGATAATATGCTGTAACTCGGCAGCATACACTTTCAGAAGTGGATACTACCCCCAAAGGTACTCTTATCACGATCGGAGATGTCAAATACGATGTCGACCTCTCGCAGATACCTTATCTGTCGTCCTTTGCCGATTTCCAAGCCAAAGCCCAGCCGGACGCCACCGATTTGGTCCACGGCCCAATACCACTTTTCGACGTAGCTTTGAAAGGAATCCAATCGGGTTATCGTCAATGCTTCAGGAATCTTCCCCCCGAACTTCAACAGTACCACGTTCTATGCGAAACATACGAGTTTCTCGGCATTGATGTCCTCGACAAACGACGTATCAATCAGATCTTCAGCGATCTGAGGCTCTGCAGGATAGATTGGGACCCAGAGGATGAAGATACCAAAGGTGTTAAGTCGAAGGCACGCGACGCCGCTTTCAGGTTGCTGTATCTTATCCTGCTGGGCGAATTTGAGGATGATAAAATGAATGGCGACAAGGTGTACAACGCAGTGTTATTCGTGTTATCACATCCCGCGACGTTCAAGTCAAGAACAAGAGCCGTAGTTCGGGCGGCGTATGAGGAACGTTTTGTTGTGTCGCGGAAGCAGATAAAGAGACTAGATCAATGGATGAAAGGAGATACTGCAGATGATAGCGAAGAAGTCACCACTACAGAGGAGGACTCGCCTGAGGACTACTATGGATCGGATGAGTACCATGGGTCGGATTGGTCATAGGGGTTGCGAAAGTTTGTGTGGTCACTTAGGGAATCATGATTTCATTGTCAAAGCCCCGGCGATCACGTTTCTCGATCAGGAGAGGTGTGATACGTAACCACGGATGGACAGGTCTGCAGACTACATCAAGACAAAACCTTACAAAGTAGGTGACCTAACGTTAACGTAGACTCTAGGGTGTTCAGGTTTTCCCTAAGATAGCGTGCCTGCTTACAGTCACTAATAAGTTGCTTGCTGTCTTTACAGGTAATCACAGTCTTTTGCATTATCCCGCGTGACAGTAGCAAATAGAACACTGCCATCTTACCCATCTATATCAGTAGTAGGAACGCTCTCCTGTCAGTCTCAAGATCCTCATACACTGTCGATAGCACCATGTGTCTACCAAAAGACCATCCCGATCGTGAAGAGCGAATAATTCACGCGACGAAGATTACATCTCAGTGGGAAATCACTACAAACAGCACTGCGTGTATTCCTCTATCTATGCGCTACCCGAAAGATCTCCAGTGGTGGCCCATTGAGATCTTGCGGGCTCTAGGTGACCTCGCCGACGAAATGCCCGGCATCGAAAACTGCAACAAAGTCTACGATCTACTCGTAGAGGGCAAAATGAAGAGGTTGAAGGACAAGTCCAACACTCTGTCGGCAAAGATACAGCTGAGCGACATAGGATTCGTTCGAGAGCGCGTTCGGGCGGGAGAAGAGAAGGGAAAGCAGAAGATAGTTAACACAACTACGGATAATAACTGTATGTCTATATCCTATACATTGTTTAAAGTCGCAAAAGAGCTAACTTGGGCAGAAGCAGAGTCTACCTAACACACATTTGATAATAACAAGGTAGTCTATCTGGCTAATAATACAGACGACGTCGATGCCGCTATCAAGCCGGGCGTGACTTCTGGAGCAACTCTTCTCCCAAACGCAACCAATGTCCACCAGCTATACTCCCCTCCGAAGATTGATATTCCAGTCCTCATCTATCAAGCTTATAGCACGCCTAGCAAGATGTCTTAGGATCGCCTTAGCTAGAGCATAGCAAGGGAACTACATACTAGCAAGAAGTTAGCAAAACATCTTAACAGCTATTCCTGGCGGCTACATTACCCTACCCCAAGGCCCTTCCAAGCCGTCAAAGCATACTCCTAACCCTTCACTTCCGTTACAGCTTTTAATCCCACAACCTCAAATCGGCATTTCGTCTCCCCAACGCCAGATGTCGCACAGTATTTGCACCCAGAGCCATCACCGGGATCACCACTGCAACGTATCTTCCTCTTACGGCAGCGTGTGCACGTTGCCTTAGCCTGACGACTCCTCACAGCCAGCCGTTGCTCCTCGTTCAGTGGTCCGGGTCTCCGCTTGGGTGTTTGTTCGCGGCTTGCTGCATTGTCCAATTCGTGAGGTTCCTGGCGCTCGACTCCAGACTTTTCGTCGTTGGTAATCGATTCGGGTTGTTTGTTGGACTGGGTAGATGTGTCGGGCTGGTTGTCAGGGGAGGGTTGAGACGGTTGACGGTCCGCAGTAACATCTTCCTCTTGGTCTCGCATTGGTACTGTAGTTTGTGACATTCTCTTGGGTGCTTGTGTGGAGGTGTTGGAGTGCTCTGTCCTATCAAGTGTGCTGATCTGATGGCTTACAAAGACAACGAGGGCGTCGCCGACGATGCAAACGATGGAGCAGAAGAGGAGATTGGGCCAATCTAGTCATATCTTGGGTCAGCCGAGCTTTTGAGTGGAGTTTGTTGTGTGACAGCTGTCTGAGTATCGGCTACTACGTCTGTCGTGGAACATTGGCTCGACGAATTTGGGGGAAGCTATGACAAGTTACGGCGTAGGATGCATTGGATGAAGGCATGTACATCCAGCTTGACGCAAACCAACATTCTCGCTGTGATGAACGATGTTGCAAGGTGATATCAGAAAGGAACGACAGCCTCCATTGTGATGTCCTGCACAGCTACGTGTACCGCCTTCAGGAATGGAGGCATGTACAAGAGTACACGGGTGACGCAGCGCTATACTAATCTGGCAATTTGCAGAACATGCTGAAGAGTATGTCGTCAAACTCGGGATATTCGTTCTACGACAAGTTAGAAGATGCTTGATCCACAGGCCTTATTTGAACTCACCTTGTCCACGAATTCTGTCCAAAGATCCGCAGCCATCTGATGCCCTTTAGCCAGACCTACTTCATCAAGCCATCGCTGCTCGTACTGTCGTAAGAATGTGCAGACGGGGCCTTGGCCAGAGTACAGATGAGCCGTGATCTTATCTTTGCTGCGCATGGCATGAGATGGCCAATGAGCCGTGGGGTAAAGAAGACCGTTCACCGAAGCCTCACTTTCAGGCGGTTCTCCGTATGATCCCCGTGGTCTACAAGGTTTCTGATAGAACTGTGATAGCAACTGCATGGACCGAGCTACTATAGCAGCGTGGGTGACCTTTTGACCTTTTGGGAATACAATCTTGCGAGCGTCACCTGTGAGATAGTCTTTCGCCGACTGGTGGACGAAGACGACCCTCCCATTGTGAAGCGACAGGAACGATCCACAGGTGCCGAGTATATCCTTTGATTCCGCTTCTTTATCAGTGATATGGTCGAGCTCTTTCAAAAGGCTTGCCAGTTCTGAAAGATGCAGAGGTCGGACGGCTATTGTTACAACCGAGAGTACGAACTTGCAGAGATTTGCTTCAGGCTCGTCCAAGCCCTCAATCTGCTGGAGCATCCTTTTGTATAGCTCTTTAAGCCCAGGGGGGAAGGCTTGCATGATCTCTTTCCAACGTACGCCCGTGTGGCCTTCCAGCTTCTGGCAGACCAAGGCTACCCACAAGAATGTCCCTCCGGCGTTGTCAATCAAGTAGTCCCGGATAGCTGCTGCGTTCGACGGATCCAGTCTCTTCTTCTTAGCCAAAGCCCTGACTTTATACTCGATGTAGGTGTTGATCGCCTCCAGGGTTACTTCAGATTTAGGGTTTAGTGCAAGGCGAATCATGGGGCGATGATCGGCAAGCACATCGCGAATGTCGTTCCAGCCGCGTGAAGAGATGATCCACTTGACGTGTGGGAGCTTTCTGGAAAGCTGCACAATCAACTCCAGAAGCCTTTTGCGATCTTCGGACACGACGCATTCATCAACAGCGTCTACCATGAGGTAGATGTTGGACTGGCGTATATCCCAATCGTCTAGCATATTGGTAAGAATCCTGAAGCGATAATCGTTGACTGATGAGATGGTGAATGAGACCACGCAAGACTGCGCTGGCCTTGTTGTTGTGTGGCTCCGAATTCTGACAAAAGAAGAACGATAGTAAATCAGCATCTAGTACCGTTCGATTCAGAACGCCGATGATTCCGCACATAAGCATGGTTTTGCCCTGACCAGGTGCGCTGGATAGCATTAGCGCCTTCCTTTAGTACGATAGGATCGCGGATCACTCTCAACTTACCCTTCAATCCATAATAGTCGCATATCAGGGTCTTCGCACCATCGCTGATAGATCGCGTTGTCCAGAATCCATCGAAAAGAGCCATCTAGTAAACCCCCTTTTGCATCTTCCAGACGTTTCTTGTCGTCGCTGGGATTGGTCAAATACCAGTCACGAAGACATGCGTTGTCCGCAGCAGTCTTCGTATCTTCTACAGCGCGCCTTGTCTGCTCTTGGATACTAGACACGATGTTATGCAAGCTGGTATCCTGTGATTCGGCCTTCTTGGCGATGGTCTGAAGTTGATCGCGAATCTCAAGCGTGTTGAATTGCGCTGCGTCTTGCCGTATTGACTCTTCCGTGTCCTTGATCGCTGCCAGCTCGCCTTCCCAGTCATCCCACTTGATAAGGTCCCTTGCGAAGACGATGCCACGTCGCCGATGGTACGTGATTATGCTCTTCACCTGGTATTCTAGGAGACTGGCGTAAAGTTCCACGAGATTTTTCTCAAGTTGCTCTTGCAGAGGCTGTGATCGTTGTACTTCTTGATTGTTCTCTAGAAGAAGATCGGCTAGGTGCCAGTACCAGTCCATTCTCGACACCACGTAGGCGATTCCTTCTCTGTTAGAAGAAGCTTGAGTGAGCGGGTTCAAAAGTATCTGCATAGGATCAGCCACCTGCTCACATCATCAAAGTTCGCCAGCCATACGTCAAGAGCAAAGCAGATCGGTACCCAGGCCACAGAAGCTTCTGGAGAGGCTCTGATAGCTGTTGCGACGCTATCCTTGACAACAGTGAATATCTGCAGGCCTTGCGCGACTGCTTCTTTGGTCGCAGCTTCCTTCTCTGTTCTTTCCAAACTGGTATCGACAAGCTGTCGCATTTGAAGCGATCTGTGAAGCCCCGAGCTAATCTTATTGGATTGAAGGTCAACGTCTGTTGCATCGAGCGCTCGATCGTCGAGTCTACTTGAGAGAATAACCTCATAGTGTTCGATCAATCTGGGATTCTTTGCTTTGAGCTGGTCATAGGCCAGATTCCAGAGACGTCCGGGTACGCTCTGCGCTGCGGGTTCCGGAGTCCCGGTGCTCTTAGATTGAAGATCGGTCGTGACGGAACTTTTCGGCCGCTCCTCGCTCCGCTTCTCTTGTGAGTCGTCACTGATGGGCACGGGAATGGGCGGTATCGGTGTTCCAGGTTTCTCTCGCTGCTTTCGGCGCGGAAGCTTGAATATGTTACAACACCCCATGGTAGCGGAAGGAACTAAAGGTGAGCACGCCAACCTAGGAAAAAACTAAACACCCTAGAGCCTACGTTGACAGTAGGTCACCTAGTTTGCAGATTTTTGCCTTAATGTAGTCCGCAGGCCTGCTCAGCTTTTTCCTTGAATGAGGTGTGAGTAGGAAGAAAGGAGATCTGAGAGGAAGTGGCAAGGTGCAATACAGCCTTGCAGCAGCTGTGCCACATGAAGCATACATGCGGGGCTCTACCTCGAAATCATTGGCCATCCACCCGCCATGCGATGGCATACACAGGGGAAATATGCCGTCGCAGATTAACCAAGGCTGTACTCATCCGATGTAGCATTCGATGATTGGATCACAAGGGCTTGTAGGCCGAAGCGTGCATACATGTCGCAGGCTTCGGATGCCGTGAACGTCACGCGCGACGAGGACGATATGCTTTTGCGCAAGGATACGGTGAAGATTTGGTGATTTTGCGCGGTAGCAGGGTTTTAAAAACGATGTGGACGCGTCGATGTCGTATGAGGCTCGTAGCGCGACTCCGTGCATACATGCCACTGACTTCGGGTGCAGCGAACGCCACCCTCGAAGAGTGCGCCACTTCATTGGTGTCAGATCTTGCGCTGAAGTCGGATGCCGTCGCGCGGAGTTGGGGTGTTAGAAGTAAACGACGTGGACGCGTCGATGCTGTCTGAGGGTTGCAGCGCGACTTCCTGCCCATCTTATCAGCGACTAGCGGCGATAACGTCATCGATCACCAACGCCGACAGCCTCACGCATCCCATCCCACCAGCGCTCAAACCGGTAAAACCGTATATCAGCTAGCACAGCATGTCGGGTCCCTCCTCCACCTCAGAAAAGATAACCCAGATCTACACCCCCAACCCCTCCGGCACCGAACCCGCCAGCACCCAAGCCGTCATCTCAGCACTCAACCTCCAGGTACACGTCGAAGGCGGCTACTATGCGGAAATCGATCGCAACCCTCTCACAATCCCGAACCCTTTCTTAGTGAAGAATGGTGGGGGTGAAGAAGAGGATGTGAAGAACACAGCAGAGAAACCCATGTCAGGTGACAATGCAATCAGAAACGCGAGCACGAGCATATACTACATGTTGAGTGCAGTGAATCCTCAGGGGCACTTTCATCGTAATAAGGGGAGAACTGTACGTATAACCCGACCATCATTGCCTACAACTGCGTGCGGCAAACACAAGCCATGTGGGAAGTATACCTGCATTGGAATTATCATGTGGAGTTGGCTAAGCGCATTTTGCGGCCCTGCTTTGTATCGTCATTGATGCAATAACCCTATTGTTCAAGTCCTAGCATGCACGCGGTGGTCGAAGTATTACCGATACTAATGGTGATATACAGGTACACACCCTCATTTCAGGCCGAGGTCGTTACGTCCTGATCCATGCCGACGAGCCTGGCACTAAGAAACGCATCGAAACGTTCGTGGTTGGGACCGACGTCACGAAAGGAGAGAAGAGCGTGTGGATCGTTGAGGGCGGGAAGTATAAGGCGAGCTTTCTGCTTGATGGGGCGGAAGGGGAGAGGTTGCTGATTAGTGAGGTATGTGCTTTCACCCATGAATAGTGACCGCATACGTCTGACTAACGCGACTTCTTAGACCGTGATACCCGGCTTTGAATTCTCGGATCATGACTTCTTGACGATGGACAAGTTCAAGCAGATTGTTACGGATGAACAGGCGAAGGAACTGGAGTGGTTGGTGAGGAAATCGTGAGACCACACCCAATATCAGACGCATCACGTCGGAGATGCAAATTCACCTGCAAAAAGCAAGTGCGACGCCAATAACCTGCATTGACTGCCCAGGTGTGGCGAAACGCGATGTCGCGTCTTCACGTGTGCGTGATGAAATAATGGCGGGGCGCTATCGATAACGGGCAAAATTGTCGATATTCCGTCACGCCAACTCACGCCGCTCAGCAATTCTCCCAGCAACACAACCCAAAATGACTTCAGCATTCGGCCCCATTTCAGGTGCGTAGTCGCGCCGGTTTATACACTCATTTTCTAACGTCCCCCGCAGAGCAACACCAGGACAAATTCGACCTCGGAATTTGGCACGCGCTCTTCAACTGGAACAACCTCACCGTCGCTGTCCAAAACCAATGGGGCGGCCCCGACTCCTCCGATAAGCGCGACTGGCTCGCAGGCCAAATCTCCGAACTCTTCGCCGCAGAACCGCTCACAGACCAAGAAGATGTCGAAGTCGTCCTACTACAAGTCCTCGAGGACGAGTTCGGCGTACGCGTAGAAGACGAGACCGAAGTCGCCGTTGCGCGCGAGATCATGGCGATACGGAAGGAGATTGGCGAGGGCAACACAGCAATGGTGGATGCGCTACAGAAGAAGTGGGAGGATAGGAAGGGCAAGGAGGTTGCGACTGGGAGTGTCAATGTCAAGGAGACGAATCAGGACTTTGAGGGGGATAGTGTGGATGAGGAGACGGATGAGGATGAGGATGTTGATATGGATGATGCGCCTGCGCTTGTGCCTGCGAAACCGAAGGCTAAGCCTGAGCCTGAGATCGATGAGGACGGCTTTACGACGGTGGTTGGCAAGAAGAAGAGGTGAAGCGGAGAGGGAGGGAAGAAGAGCAGCGATACCAAGCCAGCTGAGGCAGTGGGAATGATAGAGAGAATGTGGTTGAGCATTGCATAGATTGGAATCTATGGATGCAGCACAGCCAACACCGCGCAAGAAGCGCGCACATCAGCAGCGAGTGGCGACGCCATTAGGCCGGTGTGATGACCACCTTTGAGCATATCGGAAGAGGAAGTTCAGACTCAAAATGAATTCATGATCGTCGCATCAATAGTCCAGACCATTGTTTGTGTAACGCGAGCGTGCCTAAGCTGGTGATGCACGCCGCCCAACTACTAGCGGCAATTGCGGAGCTTCATGCATGGCCCCGCCCGCATTTGACCTGCACGCTTGATTGACCCAACCAGCCTGTGTCTCACGACCACAACAACATCCTTAGCCCCCACCCTATACACAACCTCCTCTACACCCCGCCTCCCTTCTGGACAGTCGTAGCTATGGATTCCGCCTACGATCACATCCAGGAGGAGAGCTACCCGCAGGACCCCACCAAGCAGTCCGCCGGCGGAGATAACACCCACCAGGAGACGACCAACAACTTCAACGCCGAGTTCCAGGATGCTTACAAAGCTATATCGAGCAGCCCGTGGGCGGCGCGTTTGGGAGGGTTTTTGGGTAACGTGAGGAAGCAGGTAAGACAGGCGTGTGGGATTCAGGGTACATCTTCTGACCATGTGCGGTGTAGGGCGAGCAATACTACGACAACGCAAGTAAGCAATATGCGCCACAGGTCAAGAACGCCTCCGCCAGCGTCTCCAACATCATTAGCCACGCGCGCAAAATCTCCCTCCAACCCGGCGACGCCTCGAGCTCCAAATCCGCGTCCACCTCGCAAGACGCTTCCACCGAGAAAGCGACCGAAGATACAGAAGCCCACCCCGACCGACCCGAATCCCTCACCGCAGACATTGTAAAGGAGGCAGAAGGCATACTATCGCGGTTCCGCTCCGAAGCCGCAAAACGGCTCAAAGACGTCGAAAAAGCCGAAGACGCCGCCGACGAAGCGCTCCTCAAATTCGGCAGCAACATCCGCAACTTCCTCCGCGACGCCGTCACCATCGCGCCTCCCGAAGCCGGTTCTCAAGCCGCCAAAGACGGCGACGTGCTTTTCGAAAGCAAAGACAGCAGCGGCAAGAAGGTCGTTCACGCCACGCGCTTCGACGCCCAACTCCACGTCATCCACTCGACGCTCGATTCCTTCCTCAAAGACCCCGCGAGCCCGGAGTGGGAGAACTGGAAGGCGGGCTTTGATGTAGAGAAGAAGACGGAAGCTATTGCGAAGGATTTGGAGAAGCATGAGGAGTTGAGGAGTGCGATGGAGAATTGTGTGCCGGAGAAGGTGGAGTATAAGGTGTTTTGGTGCAGATATTATTTCTTGCGCCATGTTATTGAGAGTGAGGAGCAGAGGAGGAGGGAGATGCTCAAGGGTGAGTTGCATCTACTACCCCTGGAAAGGATAGTAAAGCTAACATGTGAACAGCATCAACACCCGCCGCCGACGAAGAAGTAGCCTGGGACGAAGACTCGGAAGAAGAAGACGACGATGACGAAGACGAAGAAGAAGATGACGACGAAGACGATTCCTCCGAAGAAGACGACTCAGATGACGACTCCGACGACAACGCTACCGTTACTAAACCTACAACTAAATCCACCGCCACCGCCCCATCTACCTCTACCTCTACCACAGCCACAAAACCCGTCTCCTCCAGCACCAGCAGCACAACCAAACCTCCAACCGACCTCGCGGCCTCCGTCAAAACCCTCAAACCCACAGACGACGCTAAACCAGCACCTGCGCAACCCCGCCGATCAAACGATGAGAAGAGCGTGGCTGATAGTGACGCGAGTTATGATCTTGTCTCTGGGACTACGACGAGGGCGCCGGGGAGTCCGCAGGATGGGAAGGAGGGGAAGAAGAAGGTTGTAACGGAGGAGAGTGATGAGGAGGAGGACTGGGAGTAGGGGGTATGGTGAGGGGTTGGAGATGGGATGGGATGGGATGGGTGGAGCGGTAGGGGGATGGATATGTGAATATGAATATGAATATGAATGTGAATGAAATGGGGTGTTTTCGGCGCGATGGGACTGTGTGTTTTGGTTATTTGTTGGAATGATGGGTATCTTGATAGGATAGTAAAGTTATGTGAGATCACCTTACTTTTTGCTATTCTATTGAGGATCAACGAGGAGTACTTGCTCGCTATGCTACGCGCAATCATGATATTTGAAGGTGCATTTTGTGAACGAAAAACAAGTGGTATATAGAACGCCATTCTGATGCTGCACATCGCTCGCTTTACTGGACTTGAACAAGAAATAAAGGACCAAATCTTCAAACCCCGCACATGCTCGCTCGTCGAACTCCGCCGTCGTAAAGATCGTTTTCTCGTTAGCCCGGTTCGAGTTACAAAGCTGTTAATTCGGTCTCGCCACGCTACTAGGCGGCGTATCAGGCGGCACACTACCTGTGCGCGGTATCGCTGTGTTATTACTTGACCTCCGCGAGAAGTTGGGCTGTTTCATCTGATTGAGATGCTGACCCGGTTGTGTGGTTGCTCGTCTGAGGAGAGGACTTGGCGAGGAGACGTTACCCAGACTATGTCTTCCCGAGAACGAGACGTCGGCTGATGGTTTCGAACGATGGCCAGAGGAAGGCATAGGCGTAGAATTGGACGGAGTTGGTGTACTACCCCGCGAGCGCGAGTAGGGCGATGACCCCCGCTGACCGATGGGATAGCTATCGTAATCGTAACCTCTGCCGTCGTTCGCAGTGGGCGTATCTGTCCAGCCGTCCCGGTCGTGGTCGTGGGCCTGGTCATGGCCGTGTTCATGTAATTCGTGCTCTAGGTACTCTTCTCCTCTCCTCTTGATCGGACTCTCGTCGTAGGGATCGAAGCCTACCCTCATCCTCGCTTCTCTCCTTACCCGTCGTCGTAGTTCAGCATCGCCACCGGCACCCACTGTACTACTATCCGAGAGGAAGAAGTTGAGAAACTCATCTGGAATGGCGAGGTGGGAAGACTGCTGAAATTGCTGCAGAGCAGTCAAACGGATGAGCATTTCCAGGAGCGAGAGCGACGTCTTGATAGCGGGGAGAGACGTCGGTGCTTGTTGCTGGTATTGTGGTGTGGGTGCAGAAGCCTTCTGCGGCGAGGGAATCATCTGATTTCTGGAATTCGGTTGTGGGGAGGTAGGTGTGCTAGGCCGGAGATTGAGGTTGGAGAAGCGGCCGAGGAAGTCGGGTGGTGTTGGTGTGGCTGCTGGGGATGGGGGAGATACATCTTCAGTGAGGTCCTCTGTTTCGTCGATCTCGGAGTCGGTGGTGGGGTCTTCGGTGTAGACTTCAAAGGCCATCCACTCCAGGTCCAGCGTGGGAGGCAGTCGCCAGGGGTATGTAGGCTGTTCGGGCTCTCGTGGGGTGGGCTCTTGCGGAGCGGGCTCTTCAAGGTGCGGTGTCGACTCGCGTCGCAGTTGCTCTTCCAACTCTGTTTGCTCTGGGTCTTCCTCATCTTCAGCAACGGTATGTGAGTTGTCCGACTCATAGCCGGGTTCCTCGGCATCGCGCTCCATCATGCGGCGTGGCGGTGCTGCATTGACGTCTCGCTTCAGTAACAAGATAGGGTTGTTGCTCTCATTGTCGGAACCGATGTTCAGTATCTTGCCCGTGTCGGCGTAGAAGATCTTTGACACTTCATGTATGGGTATGATCTCACGAACGCCCGCTTGCTCGACACCATCATATGGTCCTGGCTGGGGTTCGCCATCTTCAAACTCATGCATACGGCCGTCGTCCAAGTCTTCAACGATGAGCAGCTGGTAAGCGAACTCTTGCAGTACGCTGTCGGATGGGATGTGAGGGTGTTTAGCCTCGTCGGCGCGTCGACTGTCCTGCCCAAAAGGCGTTGGATAATCATAGACATTGTCCAGTGGAACTCGCATCAGTGTAACACGCGCCTTATGCATGACCTCCTTCCATGTTGTCTCTCGCACGTCTTCTTCATGAGCTCGATGCGCGTATCCAGCGAACAACATGTACATAGAGAGTGTGAAGGTGGGACCAATTTGCTGAGCTCTAGGCTTCGATGCGCAATATTGCATGTCGCCAGAAGTGAGAAAGGTGCTAGCTTGTAAAAGTCGTGATGGAGATACAGTAGCCGGGAGCGTGGTGGAGAGACTGGTACCAGATGTGGTGATCGCTAGATTAATCAGTGGCACGGCATCTTCGATCCGCTCCAGCAGCCTCTTCATCTCTTCGATGATGATCTTGAGCTCGGTGTCGTTTTGGTCGCGTGACTTTGCTTTCGAGCTGCCTCTTCTTGCAAGCTGCTCTTCAGCGACGGCCTTCTCGACACGACTACCTAAGGTCTGGATATCCCATCGAAGAGATTTGGTGAGACCCACCGCAGACTCAAGCGAGGTGTTTCCGCGTGCCGCTATCAGTTCGATCATGTCGATTGCTGGCGAAATGATCTTGATCTTGGAGTCGAGTCTAAGTTGCAGAGTAGCGAGTTTCTGCTTTTCTCGACCATCGACCGTCTTCATCAGTCGGCCGCATTGCTTGAGCGCATAGTGGCTGGTGATTGCTATGCCGCTTCGGATAGCATAGCTCATAGCCTGTTGGGTGACCTATCACGTGTTAGCATAATTCAAGAATACGAGAAGATGACTCCCTGTCAGTTATGACGTGTTGGGAGTCAAAGCATAGTCATACCTTTGCTAAGATTGCCTCCATCTTGCCCTATGAGTTGGGCTTCACCCTTGTATGTGTGGAAGGGGCGGTTGATGAAGTGGTTGGGAGAGAGGAACCATGAGGTCAGATATCAGGTTGCTGGGGAACGCAATCGGGATTAAGTGCGGCAAGTGACGACAAAGTGAATGTTTGAGGTTGGTGAGTGCCTTTGTTGCTGGGCGCCCTGGCCAATGTTAGGCAGCGAGGCGTTGAGTCAGCCCCACACAGCCACCCAAAGCAACCCCGCCAAATCCTGCGTGGGCAGCAGCGACCCGGCACATTTTCACTTTTCGCCGACGACACTCGACGCCCGCCCGCTTATATACCTGACAGTCGCTCCCTGGCCGCGGGTCGACTTCACGCATTCTCGAATTTACGAGCGGCTCAACCGTCCAAATTCGCACGCCGTCGCACTACACCACACCCGACGACACGACCCATCCCCGCGAGACCGACGTCACCATGGCCGACAGCTGGGAGCAAGAGGAGGAGCGCCTCGCGCAGCAGGCGCAGGGCATGAACCTCAACAACACGCCCACTTTCACACCAGGCGCCCAGACATTCACGCCCGGCGCCAGCACATTCGTCCCCGGCCAAGCCTACGGAGGCTACCAGGGCTACAACCAGTACGGCCAGCAGCAATATGGCGGTTACAACCAGTATGGCGGTCAGCAATACGGTGGCTACCAACAGCAGCAAGGCTACCCGCAATACGGGCAGCAATACGGCGGCCAGCAAGGAGGATACCCCAACTACGGACAACAATACCCCCAGCAACAAAACTTCCAGCCGCAGCAGGCGCAGCAAGGCCAGGCTCCCGTACGGATAGCGAAGCGAGGCGAAACCGACATGGCCAGTTCAGAGGGTGCCGCACCCGCCGAGGCCAAGAAGGAGGCGCCCAAGGCAAAGGTTCTCTCGATTGGTGGCGACAGCGCACCCAAGGCAAAGGTCCTCTCCATCGGAGGCGACACCACAACACCAAAGGTCGAGAAGGCAGGCGGCACCAAGGTCCTGAGCCTGGGCACCCCCGCCGCTCCATCGGCAGCGAAGGAGAAGGCAGACAAGGAGAAGGGCACCGCTGAGGCCGGCACCAAGGTCACCGCTGCAAAGGCCATTGAAAAGACTGGAGAGCCCACCCCGGCGTCTGGAGGCTCTGGCAGGACCTCGCCAACACCTTCCTCTGGCCGCAACAGCCCGACACCGAAGGAGAAGGCTGCCGAGAAGGCCAAGGCACAGGATGTCGAGAAGGAAATGGACGAAGTCGTTGACGAGGCCACCCTTGCCGAGATTTACGGAAAGGAGCACGTCAACATCATCTTCTTGGGTCACGTTGACGCAGGAAAGTCCACCCTCGGCGGAAGTATTCTCATTTCCACCGGCATGGTCGACGAGCGAACACTTGACAAGTACAAGAAGGAAGCCAAGGACGCTGGTCGTGAAACATGGTACATCTCGTGGGCGCTTGACTTGAACAAGGAAGAGCGACAGCAGGGTAAGACTATCGAAGTCGGCCGAGGTTTCTTCGAGACGGAGAAGCGACGATACTCCATCCTGGACGCGCCAGGCCACAAGACATACGTACCGAACATGATCAGTGGCGCTTCGCAAGCCGATGTTGGTATTCTCGTCATCTCTGGACGTAAGGGAGAATACGAGACCGGTTTCGAGAAGGGTGGACAAACCCGAGAGCACGCCATGTTGGCCAAGACACAGGGTGTCAACAAGATCCTCATCGTCGTCAACAAGATGGACGACCCTACTGTTGAGTGGTCAGAGGACCGTTTCAAGGAGTGCACCAGCAAGGTGGTCATGTTCTTGAAGGGTCTCGGATACAACCCCAAGACAGACATCAGCATGATGCCAGTCAGCGCGCAAACATTCACAGGTATCAAGACCCGTGTGCCCAAGGATCTGGCTCCCTGGTACGACGGCCCATCTCTGCTCGAATACCTAGACAACATGCAAGCGCTCGAGCGTAAGCTCAACGCTCCTTTCATGATGCCCATCGCCGCCAAGTACAAGGACATGGGTACCATGATTGAGGGCAAGATCGAGTCTGGTATCATCAAGAAGGAACAGAAGTAAGTCACAGTGTTACATGCTTTGATCTGCTTTGTATTGACAATATTAGGTACCTCATGATGCCCAACCGACAAACCATTCACATCTCCGCTTTGTACGGTGAACAAGAAGAGGAAATCCCAGGCGCGACCTGCGGTGACCAGATTCGTGTGAGGCTTCGGGGTGTTGAGGAGGAAGACATTCTGCCTGTAAGACAACCCAGATGCTGTTCTTTGATCGCTTGCTAACTTTAATGTTCAGGGATACGTGCTGTGTTCACCAAAGCGCCCCGTTCACTGCGTCTCCCAGTTCGAGGCTCAGGTCGTACTGCTTGACATCAAGTCTATCCTGACAGCCGGATTCAACTGCGTGCTCCACGTCCATGCCGCACAAGAAGAGGTCACCATCACCGCTCTGTTGCACAAGCTGGAGAAGGGCACTGGACGGAAATCGAAGAAGGCACCGGGTTTCGCTACCAAGGGTATGAGCATCATCGCGCGCTTGCAGATCACCGGTACAGCCGGAAACATCTGTGTTGAGCGATTTGAAGACTACCCACAGCTGGGACGTTTCACCCTCCGTGACCAGGGTCAGACAATCGCTATTGGCAAGATCACTAAGCTCATCACCGACGAGGCTTGAATGAATGATTGAACCACACATGATCAGCCTACGAGGAGGAAGAGGAGGAGCAGGATATCCGTGTTGACGAAAAGCTGTCGCCATTGAGGCAACATAGCCTGAGGTTCCACGGCGTTTGGACGTAAGGCTAGCATAGACCGAGCATCCGAACAATATGATGACGAATATTCTTCCATTTCTAGTGATCGAAGTTTCTATCGTGGTGATTTGCATGTATGGATTCCAGGGCTCGGAGATAGGCGTCGCGGGACAACTGTGAGACAAGCCTTTTAGTGCCGCAATCAACAGCAACCTTAATTGACCTTCCGAGTCAGGAAGTTGGATGCATATGCATGAAGGGCTAGCAAGACGCACATGCAGAAGTCCATGACGTCACGCCGCGTCTCCCAGTGAAAGAGCCTCGTCGCGTGACAGTCGCGTCACAGCCATCCATGGATGGATAGCAAGGCTATGCTTACGTCATCCACTCCCGCGGCCAAATTTCGCGACCGTCGCTCACGCAATGAACCTCTCAACCACCACGAACCTGCGCACGCTGCGCAAACCTCCCTCCCCCACCCGCCACGATGCAGGGCTTCAACATGGGGCGGTACTACCCGCCCGACGCCTCGAACCCACCCAGCTTCAACAACTCCTCCCACCCGCTCGGCAAACGCGCCAACAAGATCACCCAAGGCATCCTAACCGTCCGCTTCGAACTCCCCTTCGCCGTATGGTGCAACCATTGCACCCCACCCGCCATAATCGGCCAAGGCGTCCGATTTAACGCCGAAAAGAAGAAAATAGGAAACTACCACACCACCCCAATATGGAGTTTCCGCATGAAGCACAGCGCGTGCGGCGGGTGGTGGGAGATACGAACCGACCCACAGAACAGCGAATACGTAGTCGTTGAGGGGGCGCGACGGCGCGACTACGGACCTACTGTGAAAGAAGATACAGCGGATGGCGAGCTGAAGTTTCTAACAGAGGAGGAGAGGCAGAAGAGGAGGGACGATGCTTTTGCGAATCTAGAAGGGAAAATGGAGGATAAAGGGATTGAGAAGAAGAATAGGGAGCGGGTGGAGGAGTTGTATGATCAAGCGGAGGTTTGGCGGGATCCGTATGATGTCAATGCGAAGTTGAGGGAAGTGTTCCGTGGGAAGAGGAAGGTGTGGAGGAAGGAGGATAGGCATAGGGAGGGTATGCAGGAGAAATTCAGTTTGGGGTTGGATATTGTGGATGAGACGGAGGCGGATAGGACGAGGGCTGGGCTTGTGGAGTTTGGCGCTGCTGCCACGGCTGACGAGGGGTCGTTAGAAGCGCTCTCATGGAAACCACTATTTGGGGAGGCGGAAGTCGATGCTGAGAACGCTGTGGAGTCGACTTCCAAAACGAAGAAGCTCAAGGCGGAAGTTGCGAAAGAGAAGTCGAGGCTGGGGTTGCAGCAGACATTAGTCGGGAATACGAGGGCGGTAGTTGATCCGTTCCTGAACAAAGACGCTCCAGCGACACCGAGAGTCAATCTCGGCATATTGAAGAGGAAGAGAGACCCTGAGACGAAAGACCCATTTGCGATCCCGTCGCCATCGGGTCAAGAGAAGGAGAAGACGGATACCGCAGTGCCGACGAAGAAGCAGGCCTTGCTTGGGGCGTTGGTGGGGTACGACTCGGATTGACCGCATCCGCACTCGATGATTGACGACCGTTAAACGACACTCTGTTGGCATTCCCTGGCGCTCGGGTGATGGAGCATATGATACCCCGTTTTCTTTTCATTTACTATCAGCAATTCACGCATACCGGTCTTCTGCTGCAGGCGGGCTTTCACACTTGCCGCGGTTAGGAAGCTTCACACAATGACATCAGCTCACGTTCACTATTGCAGTCGCCTGCTCGCTGTTCATCTAACACAATTTTGAAGATCCCTCAATGACCTTTACTGCTGGTACAACCCTGAACGTTACACTCGCCAATCTTCCACATCCTCAGCATCTGGCCAATACCAAATTTTTGGCAATTATGAGTTCAACACAAACCCACGATGATGACACACTACAGGTAACTACTGGGCACTCACCCAGGGGTATCGGGGATCTACCACCAGAACTACTTTTAAAAATCGCCGACTTCGCTGCAGTCACCGATACGAATTCCAAGAACGTACTCTGCAAGCTCTGTCTAGTCAAGCCTCTCAACCCAGCCGCGACAGAAGCGCTTTACGCCAACATTCATGCCGGCGCCAACTTCAACCCCGTCCTTCTTATACGAACCCTCCTCAGCCATCCCTCTCTCGCCGCCCTGGTGCGCTCGCTCAAGCT